TGACAACGATCATAAGCAATGAGTGATTGAGAGAATCCAAGCTTTCTCCAGAAGTCATTCATTTAGATTCTCCCTCTACCTCCATTCATTGTCAGATTCGTAAAACCTCCTTCAATGCTTTTTATAATCCGGTTATAGGAGTAAATATTATGTCTAAATTTTTTGCACATACCCTTCCTAAAAATATGCACTTTAACTCCAACAACCAAACTCTTAAAAAGTCTCTCAGGGCAAATCCTTCCTAATGAATTATTTTTTCACCTCATCCCTATCAAAGTAGATGAAACCAAGGTGTATCTTAGTTTTTATGTTTTTGATATTTGGGAGTTTGACCTTTTGATAGGGTATTCAATAGAGAGACTCATACATGAAGGAAGAAAGGGGAGTATAAATGTAAGACTCAGGAAAAGCCTAAACCTTTCTATTCCCATCACTCGCTCGTTACATGTTAAGACAGAGTTGAGTCCCGAGCAAGATCCAATGGAGGAGATGATGGCATCATCTCTCCTAGAAACTTCCAACAAAGACCTCAAAGAAGATGCCTAGGATTTCATCCAAGAAGAAGAACCGCGAGATCCTTTTCCTTTGGATGAAACTCAAGAGCCGCCAAAACCCCCCATTATGCTCAAACCCCTTCCTTTAGGTTTGAAATACGCTTTTCTAAACAACGATAGGGAGTCTCCTGTGATTATTAGTGATAAACTCTCTAAGAACGAGACCCTCTGGTTCCTTACCGTTTTAGAAAAGCATCGCTCTGCTTTCAGCTACTCGCTCGAAGACATCAAGGGGATTAGTCCTGCCCTTTGCACCCATTGCATTCCCATAGATCCAGCTCATTCACCTTCTAGGGGGCCCAACGTAGGCTTAATAATACGATGAGAGAAGTTGTTAAGAAAGAGGTTTTGAAACTTTTGCATGCCAGAATAATATATCCCATGCCTTATAGTGAGTGGGTAAGCCCGGTACAAGTTGTACCAAAGAAAGGGGGCATGACTGTGGTAAAAAATGAAAAAGATGAATTAATCCCACAACGAACAGTCACAGGATGACGGATGTGTATTGATTACCGAAAACTTAACAAGGCAACAAAAAAAGGTCACTTCCCGTTACCCTTCATCGATGAGATGTTGGAATGGCTTGCAAAGTATTCTTTCTTTTGTTTCCTTGATGGGTATTCTGGCTATCATCAAATCCCGATCCATCCTGAAGACCAAAGCAAAACTATTTTTACTTGTCCCTATGGAATATATGTTTATCACAGGATGTCTTTTGGATTGTGCAATGCTTCAGCTTTGTTCCAAGGGTGCATCATGTCTATATTTTCTAATATGATAGAAGAAATCATAGAAGTTTTTATGGATGATTTTTTTGTTTATGGAAAAACTTTCAATGATTGCTTAGAGAATTTAGACAAGGTTTTGCAAAGATGTGAGGAAAAGCACTTGGTCTTAAATTGGGAAAAATATCATTTCATGGTTAGAGAAGGCATAGTGCTTGGACACTTGGTGTCTGAACATGGGATAGAGGTAGACCGAGCTAAGATAGGGTTGGTGGTCTTTACCGATCAAATCCAACCGCCAATTAAGTGACAGAAAGAGGAGAAATTAGCAAACTTAATCACATATGCATTTACTATTAACCAAGTTCCACATGTATTTGGAGAACATTATTTTGCAGGTCACAAACACGAATACATGGAATAATTCACCAAAAGACGCTTTTTGACGCTGATTCGCGCAAAGAAGGAAGGGAGACGCCCACCATACCAACTCAAAATGGGCAAAACCCCACGGACAGTGACCCATGACCAGCCCAAGGCTTGCCACGCAAAGGTGGTGGTCAAGGGCTGGCCGCTCCTAAGGGGCGGACACTCCCCTCTAGATGTCGCCCTGCCTCCACTTGCTGTGGCGGTGGCCGCCATGCTGAGGCGGTGCAGCCCGGAGTTTCACGCCAAACATAGATAGAAGCACCGTCTTCACTCTTGTATAAGTAGAGGGGTACCCCCCTCTCTACACACACTACACTTGAGCATCACCTCACACACCTCACTCTCTAGTAGTAGTAGCTTTACTTTTTAGTAGATGTAGAGCAAGGCAAAGCTACCTTGGAGAGCTTGGTTCCTTGGAAGAAGAGACCTTTATGTATGAATAGAGATATGAGTTCTTCCAAAGTTATGCTCTCATATGATATTTATAGTCATACTTATGAACTAGAGTATAGTTGTTGTGCTATAATCACGATATATGAACTAGCCTATAGTTTTTATGTCATGAAAGTAGCATACTTAAATTTATGCTTAAACACTCATATAACTTATATAATCAGAATTAGAGCAAAGTTGAGGTGACGGTTCATCGTTTCGTTAGATGTGCCCAAGTTCTTTACCTGTCGATCCGTAGGGTCGGGGACCCGGGGAAATTTGGGTAGTTTCTGTATACGCAAGCGTGGTGCTTGGGTATGGAGAGATAGGTGAATGCATTATCCCTTTCTCTGGTTGAGGGGTAGGCAGCAGGTGGTGATAGCCCTGTTCGTCCCTTATAATCCCCCACGTTTGACTAGGGTGTAGAAGTCTAAATTGTCACATGAGGTTGCTGGCAGACTAGTACTCGGTGGCCTCCCGACCTGCTTCACACTTAGCCCTAAGACTAATTGTGTCAACAGCCAACGAGGAGGAGGTTGAGTCGTAGCCCCAGTCGCCGCGTCGTACGACGCCGACGAGGAGGAGGTTGAGTAGAATGCATCCATCTCTCTTCCCGCTCCGGCGGGTGTGACGTCCCTAGTAAACACGACACGAAACTGATCGGGGGGAATCGGTCGACCTTGCTGTGGTGACTTTTGATCTGCGCCCTGTGGTTCCCGGTGGGTGCAAGCGTGGAAGGTCCGTGCGGTTCTCAGCGGAGAAGGTGCAGACTCCCAACGGAGGTCGTGCTGGTTCCTGATGTAGCACGCGCGGAGGCCCAGAGGAGCAACAAGGGGTGGCTCGGACTTGGTGGAGCTCATGCTTGGTATCAGCGAAGCAACGCGGGAGGTCTCAGCGGAAGGTCACGAGGGAGATGAGCACTGGCGGAGCCGCAGCGCGGAAGAGGCGGCAGAGTCACGCGGGAGAGGAGCGCGCCGTGGAGGTGAATGAATGAGGTGGGCGATGAGATGAACGCGCACGTCTGCTAGTCAAGCCTGGCTTTCGGGAAACGATCCCTCTGGGCGTTTCCAGCAAGCTAGCCCGTAACCCCTCTTTTGGCTTCCCAGAGCCTGGCTTAGTAGCTACACAGGCAACCAAACACTAGGAGGTTGCATTATGGAAGCCTAGCTAGCCCCTAAGCCACCCAACCATACACATCCATATTTGTCACACTTTATGAGATGCTATTATGTTTGCCCGTCCCCTTAATCAAAGTCGCTGATTCCGCCACTAGACGGAATTGACAGGCGATTCTTACCAGGGATCCCACATTTCTTATAGGCCTCACATAGTTATTTGGGCATCTACCATCAGCAGAGCCATCGGCCTCGGTGTGTTCCCAGCTTGGGCTCGTCACCGGAAACACTGTGAAGTGCCGGATCTGGATCCAGGGGCGGGGAGTTCCGTGTACGTGTGCCTCACGGGAGCCTACGCGTGTGCACCAGCATGTCCAGAGCCCACGCCTGCTCACTGGGAGGGCCCGCCTGCTATGTGGCCTGCTTGGCGAAGGCGGGGTGCGGCCACTGTTGGGCGCCGAGGAGAGCAGCTTCGCCGTATGCGCCCTGCAGTGGTCCCATGGGCCCACACGTGTGCGTTGGCGTCAGTCGAGCCCGCAACAGCTGACTAGGAGGGCCCACCTACTCTGTGCCCCACTTGGCGGTGGCGCTGGTGTGCCTAGGGGCGGGATGGTAGCCACGGGGCGCCTGTTCTGATAGGCTGCTGTTGAGCTGGGATTGGTGTGCGGATAAAGGTGGGCCCCTCAGCCTCTCCGTTAGCGACACCCTCGATTGGGGGTAGTACGGTCCAAGCTGGTTGTCGACTGGTGATTGGTGGAGACGGAGACGGTGGGGCTGGAGCTGCGCTGCGCATCGATTCTTGGCTATTTGCCCCGTGTGGAGACAACCTCGTCGGATTTACTTCTTCATCTTTCTCGTGTGAGAAAATTGGCTATTTGCCATGGTAAAGAATGTGCTTCATAAAATTATCATTGAAAATAGTGACTTCGCAAAATTGCTAGCCAAAACACGTGTACCTCGATTTTGTTGTCATAATCCCTGTTTGTCGGTCAAAAGATGTGTACCAGTATGCGAAGTCACTTTTTCGGATCACAATTTTGCGAAAACCGTGCTTTGAAATGGCAAATAGCCAATTTCCTCCTCTCGTGTGCCGCCACCGCTCCTCTCCCTCTCTCTCGCAGCGGTCCGGGTGCGGGCGGGCGTCCCGGCGCGGCACCGCAGCGTCCCGATGGCAGCCTCAGCACGGGCGGACCCCTGCGTGGAGGCCTGAGCGACCCCCGACGGGCCCATGGGCGGCCCGGTGCGGCAGCCCCGGCACAGGCGGCGGCGGATCTAGCGTCGACGGCGAGGTAGACTGCCATCTCTCCTCTCTCTCTCTCTCTCTCTCTCTCTCTCTCTCTCCTTTTTAGCTCTCGTGAAGCTCAGGTCTCCCAGCGCAAACAATTGTGGTGGCAGAAGAGAAAGGTGCAGGGTCAGGGCGGCGGCGGGGGGGTCGGCGACAGCCGGCCAAGGGCGCGGGGCCCCAGAGAGTGGCGTGTCGAGACGACGGGCCCGCCCGAGAGCACGACAGAAGCGTACGCGGAGCCCCGTCCCAGGGCGCGGCGGCGGCGGCGGCCCGACAGGCGCGTGCCTCTGCTCGGCCACGCGGTGCGTGAGCTGAACTATGCGGCAACCGGCCAGGGCGGCACGCGGCAGCACACCTGGTGGCGGCAGTGTGGGCCGGAGAAGCGACGGTGGTGGCGACAGTGTTCGTGGCGGCGACGCTGGCCCAGGAAGCGGTGGCGCGGGATGATGAGGCCGTGGGAATGGCGACCGCTTTCGCCATCCACTATGGCGTGCTCGTCGCTGTCGATGTGTTGCAGAACAGCGGGCACGCGGGAACATGCCACATGTCCGATTTAGCTTCGCTGCGACTGCAAGAGTAAGCTGGCTCTTCTTCTCTTGCAATCACTATATGTATGCATGCTCATTTTGTCCCATGTTGCAGGATTCAGTTACTCGAGTTCCGTAGATCGGCCACAACAATTTTTTTGAAACTGAATGCTAGGCTGTTTTCAGGTTTCAGTAAAACTGCATGTTTTGTCTGTGTTGAATTGATAAAGTTGCCTGAGGCAAAATGAAACAACAAAAGGGGTCTTCTACATCATAACCAACGAGCAAGTATGCAGTTGGTTACTCTTCCAAACCAAAAAGGCCTTTTGCAAATGCTGCTGCGAGTTGCTATGTGAATTATGAATGCCATTTGATTTCCGAGATATTAAAGTTAAAGTTATCCACATGCAGTCTGGTGCACCTGTTTCTGGTAGAAGGGCCTTGATTTTAATATATCCACATCTCTGTTTGTTTGGCCTTTTTTTTTCCAGTGTATAAAAGCTCTATCGTAGCCATGCTTCTTTATTTTTCTTTGGCAGATTATTGTTGCAGACATGAGGAAAATGTTGGCAAAAAAATTCAGCATAAAGAATGACAGATGCTGCATAGGAGAAAATTCAGTGAGAAAATTGATCCAAAAATCAAACACTTATGGTAACTCCTAACATTGAGTAATTTCATGTTCTGGTTGAAGTAAAGCCACCAACCTATTGTTTTTCCCCTCAGTTGAATTGGCCACCTTTTTTTGCAACTGTAGTACCCTGCTTTCCTGCTTTCGTGCATATTTATTTATCTGTTATTTCAACAGTAGTAGAGATTTTTAGGATACTACACCATCTTCCATTCAATCACTTTGAGTTCATTTCTTTTTTTTTTTTCTGTGTTTTTGTATATTTATTCTGCTGATACGTGTGCATTATTCTAGCAAGGTCTGGAGGGCAGCAGAAGTGACTGGCGGCCAAGAACTTAGCCCTGTACGACGTGCTGCTGTCCTAATCCCCGTGATTGCCTCACCACTTCAGCAGCATATCACTGTTCTACATTAGGGAAAGGTAAGAGCCATCTTACATGACTGATTAATTATGCCATTGCTTAATTTCAGCTTTTGCTAAATTGTGCCATCGTGGGAAAGCAGGAGATGTGCACCAGCTGTGGTGGATGGTCAATTCGTACCTCTGATACAGGTTCCTCAACGCCATTGCCAAGGCAGCAGGCAGGACCAATGTGTCTGCTACAGAGGTGAGGGGTTATTATTACATTGGTCCAGTCATCAGGGGTGGCTATCCTGTAGTGGTTGATAAAGAGAGTGAATTAAGGTGCTGATGCTGGTTTGTTGTTTTTAGTTTTGTTGGGTGCAAAGAAATCCTTGTATGGTCTCGAGGAGAGGATTGCTAGCCTTTGGGTTGCTGTTCCTGAGAAGAGGGCAGAGGCGGAGAGGATGAAAAGGGATGAAAAGGCAGGTAAGACGAAGTGTTGATTTTCTGAATTTTGAATCGTTGTTCTGTTCAGTGTACATTTCTTCATAATGGGTGCTAACCAAATTCTGTGATTGTTTAATCTGAGCTACCTAAATTCTTGAATAAGATAAATCACATCGACTTGATAGTGGATGATTGGTGTAGAATTTGTTACCAAATCATTTCCGATTTGTTTTACTAGCTTAGCCTCTGCCTGCAGATAGTCAGATGGCATACTCTAGATATACGTTTATCCCCAGTCTACTATATTTCCTTGCCGGCCAAATTGTTTGTGATTTGGTTGGCTAAGCTGATGTACAAATGATTCAAGTTCATGTCCTTATCTCAAAATTATCTTTGTTTTGTAGTAAATACTTCCTTCGAGCTTATCAAACTGATGCACTGAAAGAGTTGTATACTTTGAAAATGGTGCCTAATTATTGAGGACAAACGAAGAAGGTTACCAGCACAATGTAAGCCGGTGCCATCTGATCAAGTATATTGCATTTAAGCCGATTTAGATCATGCTGTCTCTCCTAGAGTAACTTGGTGCCTCTCAGCATTGCCTGTATCATATATGCTGGAAAATGTGCTCATTCTGATCTGGTTCTAACTTTCCATTTGCTTTAAATGATTCAGTTTTGATGAATGATTTTCTTTAGAGAAGAAACAGAATTATCTTCTAATGATCAACATCTACAGCTAACATGTGTTCCATGGAGAAGTTTTGCTGAAAAATCCAATCTAGCCAGAAAATTACTTGCTACAAAATAATCTTTACACCCTTGATGCACTAAAGCTCAGTCCTGATGAACATAACATTTCAATCGTGTTTGTATTTGTTTTTTTAAAATACTGTACCCTGATTGCAACTGTGATATCTGATTTGTACTAATCATCAAAATCAATCCTTAATTTGATGACTGAACTGTACATGCAAATGGTAAATTAGAAAATGCTTACTTCTAAAATCATTTTATCGAGTCAAGAATATGTACAACCAGTTTTTAAGCCAATCTGACTTGACTCTCTTTGGAACCACCGATCAAAATAGCAGCCACAGGGGCAGGAGCCGTGGTGAGGCCAGCCTCCCTTTCAATAGGCATCAATTGCCACTATGAGTAACTAAACTTTCTTGTTTAGATTCTTCCTCAGGACTAATTCGTTTGGCTTAATTTATGTCATAAGCCACTAGGACTTGAAGTTGGACATGTTCCTGTCAAGCAGCCCTGTGCTGTGCCTAAAATCTGTGAGCTGTAAAGAGGCCTTTATTGTTTAACAAGTCTTGCTACAAAGACAAAATATGACACAAAATTGTGCCGCCTTGCTCACACTCACACTCACACTGCTTATTAACAATGCTTAAATTACTTCTGTTTCATTTCTGTCTAATCTATTTTAATTTCATCGTACTTATTTTGTACTAATGCCGGAGTTACCAGAATTGGATACTAGCACAAATAGTTTAGAAATCTGAGTGCCTCACGTTTTCAAGACTTAGGTATGCTCATCTTTTTGGCTGGCAAGCACAAAACCTGAATACCAATAGAAAGTATGCCTTACCATGGAAAATAATATAAAATTCTCCAAGTTTGTGTGAGGCTATACAGATTAATTGCTTTGCACATACACGTCCATGGTTTTAGCCCTCATATGAATATAACTTTCTAATGAAATTCCTTATGCAGACTTTGGGAGGTACAAGAAGAAATAACAAATCAATGATACAAATTGTAACAATGTTGAGCTCAACAGGTCAACCAGACATGGCGTTCTGTGGTAGTAACTGTTTAGTGACTTGATGCATTTAAGGTTAACCAGACATAATTTTTAGTTTCTACAACATAAATGCAACGTCGTAGTAGGTCATATCTCTTGTAGTATAAAATGGTTAAGTCATATGACCTTCCTGACATCAACACTTCATTAGGTAAGCTATACATTATTGATCTAAATGTTGTCTATCGTAGTTACTAACATTTCACTCCAATACATGCTATTTCTCAAATTTGCATTAGCGGATGAGTCAGTGCGGATAGAGAGCTTCTTGCCGAATGCTATGAACAACAGCACAGAGGTAATGTTTCCTAAACCCAAAGGTAAAGTCCTATACTATGGTTTCCACCCTCTCTTGTTTTCTATTCCCGCATATATTGACGTCTCATAGTCATTGTTCTCTATAGTACACAGCTAATCAAGCCCTTGACTGCCCAGGATATTATGGCAGTGACATGGACAGCAAGGCTACAAGCTGCAATCCTCTCTTTGAACCAGCAGGTACAGCTATACACCTCCTAGCACATTTCCATTCACTGTAAACTTCAATCTATAGGTGATGGCTCCTCTGTTGTGATGTAAGTTCTAAGAGGATGGAAGTTATCAACCCCATGATAGACAAGATCTATCTTAAACATATATGTGCCCATATAGCATACATAATCAATTGTCATTGTACATTATTTTATGGGTCAATTATATGAATATGAAATCGCAGGGTCTGATACACCACCGAACATATGTATACAAACAAAGGCTCCACCAATCTGTCAAGCATATAGCTCCACAATCAGTTAACTGCTTAAACAAATCCCCCAAATGTAATCTTCTATTGTTGGCCTGACTCAGTTTAGAAAGAAAACTAATAGAACATTTCCTCATCCCCACAGCCTCTGGCAAAATGGCAGAAGCTAATTTCTCTTTAATGCCATGCGACCTGGTCTCCTCCACATGCTAATTTTACATGGCAAGAAGTTAGCAGCAAACATTTATAATGAATATTAATAGAGTAGATATTTAAGTTATGCTTAGTCAAGGCAAATTGAAACATGACAATGCAAATGTAAAGGGTTGACTAAATTTATGCTCTGGGGGTACAAATACACCTATTTGGAAATGTTAAAAAACAAATGTTTAGCCAAATTTTAATCATCAGTTGATGCTGCTTTACATCTACCACGTTTCCATCCGATGTACTTTGTATCAGCCATAGTAAATAGTATATTTAAAAATTAACATGTTTTGATTAAGCAGCCTCTTATGGACCTGGAGCAGTCTGGTAGCGCTGCACTACTTGATCGGAGCTGGAAAGCTTAAATACAGGCATGAAGCACAAGGCTCAGCTGTTCCTCTGTTGCGTGAACCATCGTGGTTTTTATGTGTGTGTAGCATGCTATGTTGGCTATTGGACTTTCATATTAGCTATCTTAGGACCTATGTTATGTTTGTATCTTTGAACCTTTGTGTCGGCTATCTTAGAATTATGTTATTAATGTGTTAAATTTGTATTGTGCTTTTCCTGATGTTATCCATAATGAGTTGTGTTGTTTGCAAAAAAAATATCTGTGGGACCAACCCGCCTGCAGGGGCGCGCCTAATCACTAGTAATTATTCATATGCAATGATCCTATCATAGTTTCGTGTTTCTGTGGTAGTGTTGGCTATTGTTGGGTTATATAAGATCTAGGTTCACTGTGTTATGCTAAATACATTATCAAGAGTAGTGTTCAGTGTTCAACACCTTCGTGGTATATACTCACTATATGAGGTCTGAGGGTAGGTGGACAGTGGAGGGAGATGAAATGGTTATTATACACATAAGAGTGGAGGTTGGGAAGGTGCCGAGAAAATGGACCCATGTCACCTTCTGGGAGATCTCGGCTTGAATGAGAGTTTATTGGACGCTGGATGCTAGCATAGAGTCATCTTGAGCTCTAATTCTCTTAAATATCTAATATCTCAGAGCACTCTTAGAATGAATGGAGTCCACAGGTGATTCTTACCGGGGATGCCACATTTGTTATGGGCCTCACATAGTTGAGCATAGTTATCCCTATGCAGTAATCCTATCATAGTTTCGTGTCTCTGCGGTAGTGTTGGCTGTTGGGTTATATAAGCTCTGTGTTGTTCTAGGCCTTAGCCTTCGAACACCGGGTTGTCGCACGGATGAATCAACGGAACGAATAGCGAAGCGAAGACAAGATGAATGAAACACAACGAATGCATTTATTCGTGAAGCATCATTCTCTCTTTTACAATCTCCGTTTTGGGGGCTATTTATACACGCATGTAGTCTTTCTATGGACAACAATACCCCTGCAACTACTACATATTCAGGGCATATTCCTGTCTGCCTTGGACTTGCTCGCCTTTTTGGAGATGTCGCCCGCCCTTGAAAATGTCGGCCCTCAGGTCGCCACATGGTCCCACATCGTGTCGCCGTTTTGTTGACCGAGCGGGCCTCGGCGGACTGGCGCTGCCGGTGTCCTGTCTCCTGGCAGTCTCCTCTCCAAGCGAAACCTGCAAGGTCAGCCACACGGACTAGCGTTAACTATCTGCTCGGGCGAATGGTCCGGGCCATTTCATCGCCTCGCAACGCAGCTCCTGCCAAGCTGAAGCAACTATCCGCCGAGCCGAAAGCGCGTGCACGGCTTGGCGCATTGTGGTGGTCAAAGGGGACCGTGACGCCTAAGAGGGGGGGTGAATTAGGCAACTTAAAAGTCCAACTCTAAACTATGGCATCTTTTTCTAACCTTAGCAAAACCTATGCAAAAAGATAAACTATCTAAATGTGCAACTATGGTTTTGCTAGTGTGTTGCTATCTTTACCGCAAAAGGAGTTATGCAAGCAATGTAAATGCGGAAGCTAAGAGTAAGGTAGAGATATGTAAACTCCCGTTGACGACTCCGGTATTTTTACCGAGGTATCGAGAAGCGCGCAAGATTCCCCTAGTCTTCGTTGGAGCCCCTCGCAAGGAATCCCTCGCAAGGGCCAAGCTCTCGGTCGGATAACTCCGTGGATAGCTCCGGGCCTTCCCCACGCGCAAGTGGGTCTCCGGTGTGCCTTCTGGCAAGCCTCTCCCGGACCGCTCCCTGTCGTCTTCACTATCAAGCTTCCGGCCGAACCGCCGCGGGCCTTGTTCCCTTCGGTACACTGTGGCGACCACACCACAAACGCGGTTGGTGTGATCTCACAAGATTACAAGCCCCTCTGATGTACAACAATGGTGCACGCAAGCACCGAGTGATAAGAGGTGTGCAAACCCCACTAAACACTATGCCTAAACCTAGAGCAAGCGCATAAGCGGTGGTCTAATCAACCTAAGCACTTCGCAAAGCACCTACGCTAATCACCTAATGAATCACTAAGTACTATGTAAGTGGAGATCACTAAAATAGTGTATTAACACCTTTGGTATATTTCCTCAGCTCCACACTTCTCAAATGGCCGATTAGGGGGTCTATTTATAAGACCCACTAAGAAAGTAGCCGTTGAGGACGAAACCTAGCTTTCTACTACTGACCAGACGCTGCTGTCGTCCTGACTGGACGCGCCCGGTCGTCTCGACCGTTGGAGCGCGTGTGTTGATCGGACGCTCTGCCGAGTCCGGTCACTGTTGATCGGACGCGTCCGATTGTGCTATCGCCGCTCTAGAACCTCTCTAGACTCGATCGGACGCTGCAGTCCTACGTTCGATCGATTATCCGCCAGCGTCCGGTCAGTGCTAAGCTATTGTCGTGATAGTGAACAGTATCATCGTTGTGTCCGGTCACTTTTGATCCTCAGCGTCCGATCACTGCTGCTGATGCCTGCTGTTGCCGAGCATCTTGATCGGACTCGTCCGGTCACTATAAGGGCCGCGTCCGGTCACCTCTGTGAAGCTCGTTTCTTCGCGATCTTGTGTCTGGCTTGATTCCTATCTTCGTGCTTAGACTTTGCTTGATGTCTTGGATCCTCTCTTGTGCTTCTAGGGTCTTTCTTGAGGTGTTGATCATCGGATCATCATGTCACCTTCGTCCAAGTCACGTCTTGCACCCTATTGAACTACAAAACAATTACTTACAAATTCATTAGTCCAATTTGGTTGTGTTGGTCATCAAACACCAAAATCCAAAGTAAATGGGCCTAGGGTCCATTTTCCTTACAATCTCCCTCTTTTTTTGTGATTGATGACAACATGACCAAAATAAGCAAATAATAAAAATTTTGGAATTTAAAAACTATTTACTTTCTAGGATGCAATGCAAAGGGCAAGGTTATATGATGCTAAAAGATATCACATGTAAGCATTTTTGGAAACTTATCTTGCCCTTGCAAATGTTCTCATGTGGCATTATGGATTTAAGCCTCCCCTAACTCCATAATCCACTATCCTCCCTTTCTTGGACCATTACCACTTATAAATTATTATCATTACCACTTGTATTATTATGATTGGGCTTGCTTTTGGTCCTATAAATTCTCCCCCTTTGGAATCAAACACCGAAAAGGAAGACATTAGTAGCATAAGGGAGGGTCAAACTTTGTGATCCTTTGTATGTGGAGTGGAATAGGTCACAAAATTTGACTCTCACATTACATAGACTAAGCTCCCCCTAAATATATGCATACATATGATGGAGAATGTAGTTTATGCATAATTGACAAATTAATGCTCAAGGGAGTTTAATCTATATAATGCATGGAGAAAGCATATAAATACCAAAGTGAAATCGACATGATGCTATCGGTTTAGAAATACCACATATGGAAACCAATTTGATTTATACCACTTGCAATAGGTGGTGGATATTTGAAATATGATGCTTAACTTCGGGGACTCCATTTTCCTTGCAATGAGACTAGTACACACATGATAAGCTTGAAAATGTGTTAGTCTCAAAGCATCCAACTTTTAGAGTAACCTCCCCCTAAATTTGTGTACACAAGTATGGAATACTTGTAGAAGACATGCACATTGATTTTAGAATAAAAAATACCACTTGAAAGATGACATCACATGAATGTGAGAATCATTTTTGAAAGTGATATTTGGGAGAAATTATCTACAATTTGGACTTTGGCACATATTAGATGAACAATTGTAAAGATATGTGCCGTGCTGTGGCAGAACCTCCTAAATTATAGGGCCCACATGCACCTGTCACTGTCCAATGACCTCTGACGACTATGCATATGTTCCTGGTAACTTAAGAAGCCCGTCGGGTGTCCTCGGGGAACCCCGAATCATCCATAATTTTTCCGAGCAGGATCCATTACAGAGTCATTGCAGTACTACAACAGTTTATTCATTAATTTACATCAGAGCAAAATAGCGGAAGTCTTACAGTAACTTAGTTACAAAACAGTTGTTTCAAATCTTACAAACTAAGTACGATTATTATTACAAACCATAGTAGTGGAGTGGCATTAGTAACATAATAAAACACACAATTAAAGTGCCCTGCCCAAGGGCCACACATTTACTTGTCATCTTCAATTTGAAAAATAGTCATGCAACACGGTCCAAAGCAGACCTGCTCATGAGACTCACCTGCAACAAGGGTTAAAGAACCCTGAGTACAAAAGTACTCAACAAGAC